ATATATATATATTATTTGTAGGAAACGGAAATCATAAATCAAATCAGTGGTTGACCAGGTTAGACACTGGTGCGTACAAAATTATAAATCAAAAGGATCATTGCCATGAGTTCTACAACGTCAAATTCATTGCACATTAAACCAACCCCGAAAATAATAATAATAATAGTAATAATATTAAAAAAAAAAAAAAAGTACACAGATCAGAGTCTACTTATTGTTTAATGTTATATTTTCCACTCTAGCTTCTATTTCAGCGGTACTAGAGTTACTTAGTTCAGATTCAAGCCGTCTCAATGAACTCCTCAAATCATTGCATGGCTCCAGAAGTACATCTGATGCGCCTAGAAGTTCTCCTACCTCCACTTGCACAACATCAATAATGCTGCGGATTTTTTCCAAAGCTGCCTCTATGGCAGCAATCTCTTGAGGGGGATAAAGGCAAGCTCCAATCTCATCAATCTGCCGGCCAAGTTCCTGACACAATTGCAACAACTTTTCCAGCGAATTTACAAAACTGCTGTTGTCATTAGGTTTTTCCAGCTTAAGCAAGCCTATGATGGAGTGAATAAGTACTTTTATAACTGAAAGCGTATCAGAGACAACCACAATTGCTCTTTCAGCCACTTTCATCTCTTCAGGCGACAGGTCATTCCCTATATCACCTTCACTTGAATTATCATCATGTGGCTCAGACACTGCTTCTGCACAACTCTCACCAGCAGCTTTGTCAACTTGATCATCACATGAATCAGGCTTCAATTCTTTCATCTCACGAAGAACATCTTTCACTGAAACAGCAACCTGTGTCATTCCTCGCCCAATTGCTGTAATATTTGTTGAAGGAGTCTTCTTAAGGGCAGAACATGCTTCCCATACAGCACCAACCAATTGCGGTACTGATAGTTTCTGGTCTTTACAATGGGACCCTGTTAGTGTTCGTCAAAAGAGAAAGAAGGTTGTCAACAATCCAATAAGATATTGGAAAAGTAATTTGACGTGGGATCAGGACTATGCTGTTGTGTAGTGAGTGAGTTGAAGCATGATAATCTAGTCAACCAAAATATATATAAAGGAACAATGAACTAATGGGGGTATATCAATGATAGCATATTAAATGTCAATGAATTAAAAATGATTTTCCAAAGAGCATGATGTGTGTATTCCGAAACCAAAAGCATCCTTAATCAATGCATATTAGTGTCAGACTTCTTAATCAACATATTTTTCAACCTATTGAAGCTTGTCAAGTTCAATGCCGTACAAAACTGGAATGTTATTTTTTATGACAGTTAATCCAGTTTTGTGAAGGGAGAAACCCCATATCGCAAGTATTATGATTTAGACAGACAATTGTCCTCCACATATATATATATATAACTACCGGATCAACGAATGACATGATCCTCGACATCCCAAAGAAAAAGGGCATATCATGAAAACATGGTGTAACAGAAAGGACTTGAAAACACCTCTAACACCAGTAAAACTAAATATCTTAGCCACCCTCATATCCATCATCTCCTTCATTAATTCACTATCACCTAGATATCGTGAAATCATTCAGGTTGCATGTGTTTCTTCTCAACTCAACTCTCAATGTCATAGATCATGTTTGAATAAACTTTATCAAAAGCACTTCTAAGAGGATAAAATCAGAAGGAAAAATAAAATAAACTTCTCCGTAAGCTTAAAAATAACTTATGTATAATTTAATTTGTAAAAACTCTTTCATATAACTTTTTCAAAAAAAATTACAAATTAATTAATAGAAAAACTTATTTCATTTTTTCTTTTAATTTTTTTCTCTCTCGGAAGTACTTCTGAAAAAGTTTATTCAATTCTACATTTGTGACAGAGGGAGTGGATAGAAGTGGTGGTCTAAGGATAAACATGTTCCAATTTGTGCTGCTAGTGAAACATTACTGATCTACACATGCCACCAATCAGTAATTAGTAGTTATCATACCATATAAGGAGACAGTTTCCTTCATCATCCTGAAGCTGGAATCAACGACTTGTTTGACAGATGAATGAACAGTGGAAGACAAGGTAGGCCCTGCAGCTACCAGACTGGCATGGGAAAGCAAAAGGAAACCTTGTAGATTGTTGAAGTACGCTGCCATATTTTCCTCAATTGCTTTGGGTTCTGGCTTGTCTCCACTCCAAAGCATTCCCACTGCACAATAGAATTCATGCAATGCAATCTCACTTCCCTAGGCTAAAACATAATTTGACAATTGAATTTAAGAATAGCGAACCTGTGGTTGCTTGTTTAGAGACTTGGTCAGCCATCTTGATGACATCGTCCCAGGTGACTTTGGCGGAGGAAGAAGAAGGTGGCGTTTGATCCAAAACCTAAAAAGATGATGATGTTATTGATAGCAGAGAGGAACGAGTATGAATATGAATATGAATATGATACCTGGAGGGTTTCATGGATAGTGGTGAGGTAGGAACCTAAGATTAGATTGAGGCGCTCTTTCTCTTTCTTGGCTCTTACAGCCATCGTCCTCAACACAACCACAACCGGAGTGACGGCGTTCGTATCTTGGGTTCGGTAACTGAATCACGGAATAGGGGTTTAAGCCAATCCTATTTTTAAATCTTTCATTCAATTAAAAACCACTAACAGGACAATTGTTCAGGATAAATTTTATATTTTATAATTTTTAATAATATTATTATATTTTTGGATTTATAATAAATATGTTATACTATTATATAATATTATTTTTTTATAAAATATTTAATTTTATTTATAAAAAAATACTCTTAATTCAAAACAATTATTTTATTTTATATATATAAATTAATTTTTATAATAAATAAATTTTTTAATATATAAATTATATTTTAAATTATGATAGAATAGTTTATATTGTGGTATAATGTTATTTCACTGTCTAATGATTTATATATTTAATTTATAAAAAAAATATTCAAAGTAAATTGAAAGAAATGATAAGTCAAGAAAAAAATTAATAAGAACCTCTAATAATGTTCTCTTCAACAAAAGAAAAAACGTAAATATATTATTTTATCTGATAGTAGTTTATGAATACGTTTTTTTTATATAGAATTTGTTTAGATATAAATTTAGAGAGAAAAAAATTGATATTTTTTTTATTAAAATTAATAATTTTTTTAATAGATACATTATTCTAAATTTGTATATAATCATGCTCATAATTATTTTAATATATAAAAGAGGGTAGAAAATTAGATTAATGATTATGCACTTTTACACTGTTTAACAACTTTAAATCATTGTTAATATAATTTTTAATATAATTATTGTAAAAGTTATAAATTTATCTACACATGAAGATTTTCTCTCATAACAATTAGAGAAAAAGAGTACTTACTACTGTCATTGAATCATTAATTTTTATATATAATAATAGATATATTGACTTTTATAATAAATATCTTAAAAATTATATAAAAAATAATTTTTAATTAATTGATAGTGTAAAATTTTTATACCAAAAGTATAAAATATTCCTGCATTAAACGAAATTTAAATTTTCATATGGATCATGGTATAATTATCTGAATTATATGCGTTGACATTTTTTCATAATTTATTTTAAGTCTCTTGTGTTGATATATCTTAACTTTAATTAAGAAGATGATCAGAATAATTTATTTGAGTTCACCAAAGTGATTCATGATCTTTTATAAAACAAAATTTATGAAGAAGTTTATTAAAATATTTTTTTAATCTTATTTCAATAAATTGTACATTCAAAATTATAAATCAACTTTTCAAATTGTTTTAATAAGCAAGTACTTGATTAAATTATTTATTTAAACACTCTAAACTATAATCTGCTTGAATTTGATTCTATTACAACTTAGGTAATAGAATAGCCGATAAAAGTTCAGTGAATAGTTGACCTCACACTTCCATTCTATATATTTGATATATGCATTTGGTGTTAAATAACAAAACTCAAATTCAATTAGAATTTACATTTACCATAGGGGAAAAAAGTATTTACATTTACATTTTGATTTAGTAATATTTGTTTGACCAATGTGCAAATTGGTTGGGTTATTTTATATTTATTTACACCTCAAATATGCAACTACTAATTTCTCAACCAATCAAATAATATTATTGGTTTTACTTTTAAATTAGCTATCATAAAAATCAACAAATTTAACATAGATGTCAGGTGTGCTTGGATGATGTTACACTGCTAGTGCATTTTTTTTTTCTTATTTAAAACTATAGTATTTTAATTGGAACTACTCTATTATCTATTTTTTGTTATATTATATACTCGAGGATGTTAATGGAATTGGAAATTGAAGTGCTACTACTCTGCTTGAATTCATTAAATTGCTTTATTCACGTTACAAGACCCTAACCAAAATTAGATTGACAAAAAAATAGCAGATGAATATTACTACGCTTGTCCTTCTAGAAAACTTTTTCCTCTTTTAAGTTACTGAACTTTAGGGGTGTATTAGTTTAGAATTTTAAAAGATTTTTTTTATAGTAAAAAAGTCCATTAATATTTAATCAGGATTTTATGTCACTTAAAAATAATTTAGTGGTATTTAATCTAGATTTTTAATATTCTTTTTAAAAAATCCATTAAAATTTATTAGTATTCATTTGAGACTTTTTATAATTTAAAAATAATTAATTAGCTTTAAAAGATTGTTGTATTAGAGAGATTTTGAAGGATTTTTAGTGGTATCTACAAATACCAAATTCATAAAATAATCACATCCAAACCCATCAAATTTTGAAGGATTATTTGAAGTGACTTTTCAAGTGATTCAAGAATTTTCAAGTGAGTTTTTCATCTTTTTATTTTTATGCTCATGTTTTCTTCAATTTTTTCTTGCTAATAATACTACACTACCGCTCATATATAATACTCTCCTATTTGGTGAAACTTCTATACGTAAATGATAGTTAAGACTGTTCCCCAGTTATATAACACAAAAAATGCTTGAAATTTCAACTTTTAAGTAGTAATTTTTTTTATAACACACGTCAAGAAAAGGGAAAGGTGAAAGTTAAAATTGATATCATGATCTCAATAATCAACCGTAAATCTTCAAGACCTTGTAATCAATTTAGATTTATTAGAATAAAAAAATAATATATATATATATATATATATATATATATAAAAGATGAATTTGAGTTAGGGTTTCTGGGAATAGAACCCTCTCAGTACAAAAATTGCGATCTATCTCTCTCTTGAATTTGTTACTGTTATTCTTACTCAACAATTATTTTATTTCTTTTTTTAACTATAATTTTTTTTTTATATTATGAAATTAGGATTTTTTATATTTTAAAAAGGAAAATTAACATAAAACATTTCAGTATCTTAGAATTCAACATTAAAAATATTTTTTCATGAGTGAATAATTGAAAGCAATTAAAAAATTTAAAAAATTATTTTATACTTGTAACAAATTTCAGATTTTTTTTCTCCTAGTTGATGTTTGTAAATTTTTAAGATATTTTAAATGAATAAAAGTGTACGAAAGACAAACTTTCACTCAAATACCAATATAAAATGAAGGGACATATTTAGTTATAAGAGAGTAGGGTAGCTATCCCACTGTTTTTTTTCTTTATCATTTATAAATAAAATATTTTAAATCACTAATTATAAAAAATTTGAATGTTGTTTAGAATAATTTTTACCTTGTGTAACACTACATAACTTTCTTCGTAAAGAATGTCATTCTGTTGAATTTTCAATTGGAGTGGTGAACGAATCTTCATCTTCAACATTATCGATTAATAAAAATCATAATTTTGAGTCTATTATTAAAACTCAGGAGCAAGAGCGAAAAGATGTTAATGCTTGGATGCTAGTATAACTATGAATATGTGAGTGAATGTTATTTAGAAGGACATGATATTACGGAAAATTATTTTTATTATTTATCTAGACATTGCTATTTTCTTTTTGTCTTTGACTCTATTTAAATTTGAATGTATGAAAAAAAAATCTTGAACTGTTATCATATGTCAAAAATCTACGAAATTTTGCAAAGTTCATAACGTCCCGCAGAATCCATTAAAATCTTAACTTAAAAATCTTGCAGAACCCATTAAAATCTTGATTGAAAGTCTTACGAAATCCTATAAAATCTTAAAAGTCATGAAAATCCTGCAAAGTCATTTAAAATTCACAAGACTTTTTTCAACTAAAAAAGTCTTTTAAAACCCTAATCCAATACACCCATCTTTTCTGCAACCAGAATTGGATGATTCACCAATACCAGTTAAACCGGCTCAAAGCTGCAAGGAATCTTCTCCATTTGCTTAAACTAATCCATCTTCTACTGCAAAACTTGTCTGAAATAACCTTTCCCTTGCTTTAATTGCCTGAAATCTCAGACATTCCAGAAGTGAGAACATTTCAGTTAGTAGTCCATGGTTGCTCTAAAAAAAAGTTGCCAGAACATGTTCAAATCTGATAAGATTGCATGGGTTAACATACTACTTCTCCTTCACTGTAAACAGAATTTCTGTTGTTTTAAACTTTAAATTCAAGAGGTTTAGTTTGATATTTGACGAGATAAAAAATATTAGCAACATTTCCCCTATAATTGACAGTTGAAATTTAATAAAAATCACAAATTTTAGTAAGTTTCTCTTCTTACTCATTTAAAAAGTTTTTCCTGATTTTATAATTTTTAATAAATTGTAACTAGTAGTAGGGTGTGTGTTAGAGGATATATTGCTAGTACTCCTCTTGAAAAGATATTGTGAAAATAGTGTTTTTGGTCTGTGCCAAGTGCAAAGCGACAAGACTTGGAAGTGGAGGCAAACCTGTTTTTCCCAGTTTGTACAACTTGTTATGCAAGATAGCATAACTGTTTGGCTGAAGGCACCAACTAGTATTCCAATCCACAACCCTTTTCCCCTTAATTTTACCCAGAAACCCAGTATAACAGCAATTGGAATTCCCAAAACATAATAAGCTCCAAGGTTTACATATGTTCCTATGTGCTGCCATCCACATCCTCTAGCAATACCTATAATGAACAAGTATTATATTTTATGGCACAACCCAGAGTTATTGCATAAGAAGAGTGGTGAGCATTGAAAAATAGAGAACAGAAAGACACAAACCTGAAAGAGTACCATGTAAGGTGTCCAGTATAACAGAAAGACTTAAAAGAGGAACCATATCTGTAACATAATCCACCACGTCCTGCTCAGTGCTAAATACATAGCCTAAAACCTCCCTACAGGAAAAAATGATTGAGCTCACCAGAATGGCCTCCAAAGCTGCAAGAGCCATAGCAGCAGAAACAGACACTCGTGCTGCTTGTGGATTTCCAGCTCCTAATGCATTTGAAACTCTAGCGCTGAATAACCCACCCAAAAGAGAAACCAATCAGAATGAGGACAAAAACCCTTTACTATATTACTCTTCATGAATATGAGAATGCACAAATTCATGAGGATAGGACTTGTGTGAATCAAAACCTTGCCGCTGAACCAATTGATTCTGGGATTGTGTAGATTGTTGTCATGATTGATAAACTGATCAGAAAATAGTCAACATTTAAACAACAAATTTGCACCACTTACATGAATGGAAATCAATATTTGGGTATGAATAACAATTTCCACGCTAGCGAACATACCATATAGATAAGACTGAAGTTTCAAGCTCTGGATTTGGTAGAAGGCCAGAAAGCAAGGTTAGCAGCTCAACTGACCACCATTCAAGGCTGCAATGATCAAATATGTAAGAAACAGACCATGGCTGAAAACCAAAGGGCAAATAAAAACACAGCATTAAAGATCAGTGTGAGAGGAAGAAACTCACCAAATCATTCCAGCTGAAGGAATAGCATAGTGGAAGAACTCCCCAATCCCATGGAATAATTCCATTGTAATTGGGACCCGAGTCGCTTCACACCCAGGAGTGAATTTCATATATAATACGAGTAAAATCACATTCAGCCAGTACGAAGTTCCAATAGAAAATGCAGCTCCCAAGTTGCCAAATCCAAACTTAAAAACCAGTAGCCAACAGAAAGCTACATGGAAGCAAAGAGTAATGCCGGAACTAATGAAAAGGGGACTGATCAAACTTTGCATAAGAAAATATCGAACCAAGGACTGAAGTGTTGCATAACCAAATAGAGCAGGGATCATGCACAAGGCAAAGTTTCCAGCTTCTTGAGAAATCAAAGGGTCTTGGCCTAGTAAAGTGAGTATCTTCCCCAAGTATATCCACAAAAGAGTTAGAGGAAGACAAGCTAGAGTAAGAGAAACAATACCAGTGTAAATTTGAACACCGAATTTTTGATATTGCTGTGCTCCATATGCTTGCCCACATTGAGTTTCCAGTGCACATGACATTCCAAACTGTTTCACGAGTACAAAATACAAAGTGCAATTAATTCTCCAATCTCAAATATAAGTCACAACAAGTATACTAAATATCCTAGCATGCATCCATTTCAATATCCTCATGTGAGTTGAAAAATTCACATTACTGATAAAGATTCCACGTAGAATAGTAAAATAGACTAAATAATGCTGAGGGACAACTTTCACCTAATGAGTTAAATTTTAGTATCAAGTTAAACTCAAACTCAAAATCAAATATAGTATTAAGGTTTATCCTGACTATTGTCATTATTCCAGTCGAGCTACTATCCACCTATTGTTAGATTGTTGTCGAATTACTTTAAGGGGTATGTGACGGAGATTTTACATCAATAGAATAGTGATATGAACAAAATAAGAATAGTGCATATAAAAATGAGGGGACCCCTAGTCCCCTAACGTAGTGAGTTAGTTTTGACTTAAGCACAGCCAAACTTAACCAACAACCAGGCCACTCTAGATTCTTCCTGTATTATATATGACATCTACAAAAAGATAATCAAATTTATCTAAACATGCAAAACTAAAAGAGAAAAAAAGAGTTACAATAACACTGAAGCCAGTGACAGCGCAGAGAGAAATGGCGATGGCAGTGCTAGAGAGAGCAAGCTTGCCCAAGTGACCAACCATCATCATTGCTATTGTTTGAAGAAAATACTGTGACAGAGTAACAGTAATCATAGGAGCTGCTATATAAGCGACGGTTTTCATCTCTTGAGCAAAGACGCTCCATGTTATTATGGGTGCGGCGTGTAAGAGACCCTCTTTCATATCCTCTCTAAAGCACTGCACCCAGTTGAGAGTTGAGAGTTGAGACAGATGGAAAAACGTATAAATATATACGAGTTTCAGTATGTAACAATAGGGTGATGATCTAGTGTTTTATAAGTGCGATTTGATTTGAGACGCCACCTGAGGTGGGAAGAGAATGTATCCCACCTTGAGAGGCTTTTACTTGACCTTGGATAAAATCCTCTGTAGCACAATATGCAACTACACCCAACCACTTTAAATGGGTCTTACTATGTCACGTCACTTTTAAGCAACTCATACTATATTTTTATAATTTTTACTCCAATAGAAGTTTCTTATAAGCACCCCTACTTTTTTACAACTCATACTACACTTTTTGACACCTCACACTATACTTTATTATAAATTTTTTAAAAATTAATTATTATGAATAATATATATATATATATATATAAATAACAAATAAAAAATTATAAAATAGAAATACTGAAAATGTGTTTAATTTAATTATTTTTTAATAAAATTTTACAAAATGTATTTTTTATTATAAAATATAAAAAATAAAAATAAAAAATAAAATATAAAAAATAAAAACAGAAAATAAGATATAAAAATAAAAAATAAACGTCTCTCTCTCGTCCCCTCTTTCTCTTTCAAGCTCTCTTTTTTATCTCTCAATCTCTCTCTCGTCTCTCATTCTCTCTGGTGGCTGGTGGCTGGTGGCTGGTGGGTGGTGGGTGTTGGGTGTTGGCTGTGGCTGGTGGCTGGGGGCTGCGCGCGGCTGGGTTTCTGGTCGGGGGTTGCGCGCGGCTGAGGGGTTGCTCGCGGCTGACGGGGTCGGTCAAGGGTTGCGCGCGTAGGGGGAGGGGGTTCCGGTCGGAGTCGTGCGCGCAGGGGGAGGGTATTCCGGTCGGAGTCGCGCGCGCAGGGGGAGGGTGTCTGGTCGGAGCTGCGCGCAGGGGGAGGGGGTCCGGTCGAGTGCTGCGTTGGGGAACGGGTTCGCGCGGGGAGGGGGTTCTGGCGCGGGGGCTGTCGGGACTGATTGTTTGGAGGGTTCCACGTAGATCTGATTCAACCAATCAAATGCTTCTTCTCGGTGCTAAGCACCGTTGCTTGCAGAAGCAACAAAGAAAAATTTTTAAGCAACTGGGTTGCCACGTAAGTTCACTCCAACGAGAGTTTCTTACAAGAACCGTTCCTTAACGTTAAGCAACCCACTAAACACCTACCGTTGGAGGTGCTCTTATATATTCTATACACACTCACTCAACTTTTTGTCTCACAATTTTCGACAATTTCACGGATCCATAAACCATCGCTCCAAAAATAATTTTAATTAATAACAAAACAAATATGAAGGTACGCTGAAATTATGAATTTAATATTACTTAGATCAAGAGATCTAATTATTGAAATAAAAAAATAATTAATCTAATTATAATAACACTACTACTAGAAAAATGTCATTTTCCTGCAAAAAAAATATTCGCAAAATTTTTTTGTAAATTTTCTTGCAATAATAATTTCAAAAAAAAAAATTTACAAATTTATTTATGAAAAATAATTTACAGATATTTTTTACAATTTTTTTATAAAAAATAATCTACAAGAAATTTTTGCAAATTTTGCTACAATTTTAATGATCATAGAAATTTTTTTTCATGGTAAAAATTTGCAGAAAATATTGTAAGAATTTTATTTTGTTTCTTGTAGATTTTCTTACAAAAATAAAACCGCAAGTAATGTTTACTAAATGGTAGAAAAATTTTGCAAGTAATTTTTCCTACGGATTTTCCTGCCAATTTTAATTCGCAGGAAAAATCAAAAAAATATTTAAATTTATAAGTTTAATATTTTAAAAAAACTTCAAGTCTCACGTCGATTGAAAATAAAATAATTAAAAAATATATAAGTTGGGACGATACTTATCTTATAAATTGATTTATATGGTTGAGTGTTAAGCTTATAATTTACAATCTTAAAATTTAAAAGATTATGTATCATATGTTGAAGGTGTGGAAACAAATGTTTCGGATGAATTCATTGTGAGCATTAGTAATTTCTTTAAATTTTTTTCGTAAAAAATATTCCTGTAGAATTTCTTGCCAAAAAAATCGCAGGAAACTTTGTTGCGAATTTTTTTCGTAAGAAATTTCATAGGAAAATTTCTTGCGAATTTTAAAATTTACAAAAACATATTATCCATAAAGGCATTACCTACAGATAAAACTTCTAGTAGTATAATAAATATATATATATATATATATTTTAAATTACTTTGTTCTATTTTTTTTAATTAATAATTAATGTTCACCTTTATTTTAATCTATTAGAATGGTCTATGTTATTTCTCTTTCGTAATTAATATTATTTACTCTTTAAATATATCTTTTAAAAAATTATAATTAATATATTCTATTAAATTATAAGAACATGGTTTAATTAGGGATATTTAAATTTAAAAATAATTAATATATTTAAAACAAAAAATTAAATTTTGTATAAAAAAATATTCACA